TTTCCTCAACTCAGTGATTTTAGCAAGCTTTGCCTATATGCTGATGATGCAAATTTAAAAATAGCCGCAGGAACCTATGCTGAACTTGAAGCCAAGGCCAATTCTGATATATTATTACTTAACAGTTTTTTTAATTTGAATAATTTGCGTTTGAACACAGATAAAACTAATTTTATGTGTTTCCAAGCAGGAAAAACTAAACCGTAAAATCTGCCAAAAATTGTAGTTAATAACAACATAATTCAAAATAAAGACCACATCAAATTCTTGGGATTAGAAATTGATGAAAATTTGAATTGGAATCATCATATTGATCAGTTACTTTCTAAAATTTCATCTGGCCTTTATGCGCTAACAAGATTAAAACCCCTATGTGATAAGGAAACTTTAAAAATTATATATTTTTCGTACATACATTCAATCATATCATTTGGAGTTTCACTTTATGGTGCAGCAAAAAAGAAAAAATTAAAATCAATTCTAAAAAAACAAAAGAAAGCTATTCGAATTTTGTGCAATTTAAAACGCAGAACTTCAGTCAAAGAATATTTTAAAACTGAGAATATTATGACTGTTTATGGAATGTATGTCTATGAAACAGTATTATCAGTAAAAGACAGATTTAATGAATTACAACTTATTGGAGACTATCACAATTACTTCACTAGAAATCGAGAAAACCTGGCCACAAGCTCACATACTCTGCAACTTTTTACGAAGACACCTAAATATGCTGGTTCCAAATTTTATAATAAACTTCCCAATGAAATCAAATTAGAAACTTCCAAAAATAAATTTAAATCAAAATTGAAAAAGTTTCTTATCAACAAGGCTATGTACTCCTTTGAAGAGTTTTAGTTCTATAAGTTATTAATTGCTCTGTTTCATATCAATTGAAACTTTTGGTTTTAAAATAATTTTATCTATATTTTTAATTTTGATATTTTCATGTATAAACTTTCATATTGCACTGCTTGTTTTAATTTATTTGATCTGAAAAGCTATTAATATTGATGGTATGTTGTTATGCCATGCATGATAATGATGAGTATTTTAGTTAGTTAGTTAGTTTTATTAAATTACTCTTGACGCCATTCCTGTATCTATATATTGTACTTTAATGAATAAAGTTATATGAAATGAAATAAAATGAAATGAAATTTTTACTGGCCATGAAATGTACGGGAATTGTCCTTAAATGCCAGACTATGTCCTTAAATTTTTAATGAGCCATAATTTTATTGATCGCTAGTTGGTTAGGAGCACATAAAAGGTTTATCAGATGTTTGTTTACATTTTCATAATTTATTACTAGAGTAATTATGCAATAAAAATCCCATTAACAATCTCAAACCCATTAATATTTTATCACGACAATCAAGTGTCAAGTCAAGTACTTCCAAGAACTGTTGACTCAGCAGCTAGCTCATAAAAGTTGTATCACTTTTATTCCTTTACAACTTCTTTTTTTATTACTAGGGTAATTATTATTAGATCTCAAACCTATTTTATCGTGAAAATAATAGCTTTATAATGGCTGTTAAATTTCACTTCTTACTTGTACTTTCGGCTTGAAGATTCAATTTGCCGCGGCCAGTGCCTAGTGCCATAAAATTGTTTATGGTTTTATATTAAACATGTAAATAATCTACAGGCTTATTTTGTAAGTTAACCCCTATTTTATGGACATTTTTATCTTTCAATTGACAAAACCACAAGCATTGTTGTTTGCATTAATGTTTTATTACTATGTAGGCCTGCTTGGTTTCAAATTATGTCATTGCATTTTCTGTATCTTTGTCTTATATTGTTGGCTATTCAGGTTTCAATGTTTTTTGTTTCCCATATATTTATTTATTGAGTTGTATGCTTTAAGCAATCAAAATCTTATGAACTAGAGTGATGATAGTGACTTTGCTGCTATTATAACCTCATTGTTTGTAACTCAGTTTATATAGGCCCTCCTAAATAATTAGGTCTAGGCCTGGGTATTTTGATTCTTGAAAGAGCTGTAAAATATATTAAGAAAATGTAATTGAGCCTAAGATAAACAACTAATGATAGCTTTGTGTCGATATTAACTTTGCAAATGAAAATACAATAATCTTACTCTGTGCTTATTGCTTATTAATCAGCCGCTTACCATACCTTGATTTTGTACTAAGAATTGAGTAACAATATGCATTAAAGATTTTTTTTCAAAAGTAGTCGAGAACCTAACGTTGTGCCAGGGCGAATCATGCCAAATTAATCGGCCTGGATCGGATAAGCTATGTTATGAAGTTTACGTGACTGATGGAGATATTTGTCGCTATCGCAGGAGACAATGATTGCATTTCTCTGTTACACTATAAAAGCTTTACCTAAAGTGTAGGTAGGCCTATGTTTGTTTACTTTCAATAAATTTCTATTTTGTAATTTTTAACTCTTATCTATTATTATTTACTTTTCTCTCTGGTACAACTACAGTGAATAACAAGATTAATACAGTTTGACAAATCAGGAAAACTATTTGGTAGGCCTAATGACACCGACAAAGGTTACGGCAAAGTGTCCTTAAATGTACGGGAATTGTCCATGAATTTTTTATCCAGAATGTAGTAGACACCCTGTAAAAGGTATTTGACTAGGCTGACTATCGGTGAGTCGCTAGCGTCACGGACTTCAGGCCCAAGGCAGCGATGTCGTGGGTTCGGATCCTGGTCACTGCCGCAAACATTTTATCAGTACAGTTCACCTTCCTACTGTACCGGCTCACCTCTTACTTTGCTGGATACGTTCCACGCACAGATCTGTAGTCTATGTGGACGGGCAAATGAAGGGTTAAAAGAGGCCGCCAACCTCTTAAAAAAAATTATTTGTAAATACCTAAATTATGAAAGAAAATAGCTTGGCTCAGAAAAAGCTCGAGGCTCAAGCTTTTAGTAAAATTTTTAGTAAATAATTTTGTCCTTGAAAGAAAAAAAGATTTGAATAAATATCTGGTTAGGCGAACAATTGAAGGTAAAGATGTGACTAAAGTTGTTACTAGCTTAAGTTCATCATGTAGTGAAGATTACTATGGTTTATCAAATAGAGTTCTAAAGGAAATATGTCAAGGTGATAGTGACACCATTGACTTTACTGTTTAATATGATCTTGGAACAGGGTATATATCCGCAAGCACTAAAAGTAACAAAAGTGATACCAGTCTATAAAAAGGGTGAAAAGTTGAGCCCATCTAGTTACCGACCAATTTCTCTGGTTCCTATAATAAGTAAAGTTTTTGAATCCTGTATTAAGGCTCAACTTGATACATTTTTTGTGACTAATAATTTGTTTTGTGAGGAACAGTATGGTTTCATGCAAGGTAAAAATACAGTAAAAGCAGTAGAGAATGTGATAGAAACAGTGTTAGAAAACTTAGAAAATAAGCTGTTATCATCTGCCTTACTCATAGATCTTACTAAAGCTTTTGATTGCATGAATCATGAGCTACTGCTAGACAAACTGTTTCACTATGGTATCAGAGGTAAAGAACTTAATTTATTTAAATCATACTTGAGTGGTAGAGAACAAATGGTGGTACAGGGCAGTGATAAGTCTGGCTTTAGAACAATATTAATGGGTGTGCCTCAGGGATCAGTCCTTGGACCTCTTTTATTTATTATTGCTGTGAACGATTTTGCTTCAAATATTCCTTGTGCCACAGTGTTATATGCAGATGATACCACACTTCTTAACAGTAAAAAACACCTAGATGATCTAATAAGAACTGAGAACCAAGCCTTAGAAATAGCAATGGAATGGTTTCATTCTAATCTTTTAATTGTTAATGAGAAAAAGACTGAACAAATTATCTTTTCTTTGGACTTTTCTATTTATAAAGATGTGAAACCTGTTAAGTTGTTAGGTATTTATCTTGATAGTAGGTTAAGTTGGGAAACTCATGTCGAGCAGTTGTGTAGAAAACTGTCTAGAGTAATTCACCTTCTTAGAAAGTTGAAAGATTGTGTAACCAAAAACATGCTGATAACTGCCTATTATGCTTTTTTCATTCTCACTTAAAGTATGGCATAACTTTATGGGGCAACTCGTGTAGTGCATTAGAGGCTTTTAAGTGGCAAAAAAGAGCTGTAAGAGTCATTACAAATGTTTCAGATAGGGAGTCATGCGTTCCTTTATTCAAAGAGCTTAAAATAATGACTCTTCCAAATTTGTACATATATTGCTGCCTGATGGATGTTAAGAATTCTATTTGTAAATTGTCTGTTAGAAAAGAAATACATGGCTATTAAACGAGGAAAAACTATCTTCTTAACTTAATCTCTGTACGGTTGGAAAAAACAAGAAACAGTCATGTTTATATGAAAATTAAATTATTTAATAAACTGCCAGAAAACATGTGGAATATAACTTCAAAACTGTTTGAAAATAAGATTAAAATATGGTTAAGAGAACATATTTTTTATACTGTTGATGAATTTTTAGCTTGTGACATTAGTACTTTAAGAATTTAAATTGGATAATTGTTTAGATTTTATATTAATTGTTTGTTATGTCATTCCCTGGTGTTTTTATATTTTGTTATTGTTTTAATCTATAAATTAATATTATATTTTTCAATGTACCTTTTACTTAGAATAGGCTATTTACATAATACATACATTATATGCTTGTGACTTTGTCAATTGCACACATGTGTTTAAAGACAATAAAAATCTTTGACTTTGACTTTGACTTTATTCAAAAGGTCAATTTGGGCTCGGCTCGATTAAAAATCTCAGGCTCGCACACGTCTAACAGTTTTTAATATAACTAACTGTGGACTCTGCACTGTATGCTGAGGAGGAGGAGGATTGTGTTTGTCAGCCAGACCTGGTAGCCTACCTGCTGGGTGCTTTGCTAGACAGTGTCAGTGATAGTCCCAATACTCCCAATGTGGATGCACATGGTGTGCTGGAATCTACTTCACGACTGAGATCACTAGACTGGAGGTTACTCTGAGCTGTGTGTTACAGGCTGCAGTGGAGGAGGAGGATAGTGTGTGTCAGCCAGACCTGGTAGCCTACCTGCTAGGTGCTTTGCTAGACAGTGTCAGTGATAGTCCCAATACTCCCAATGTGGATGCACATGGTGTGCTGGAATCTACTTCACGACTGAGATCACTAGACTGGAGGTTACTCTGAGCTGTGTGTTACAGGCTGCAGTGGAGGAGGAGGATAGTGTGTGTCAGCCAGACCTGGTAGCCTACCTGCTGGGTGCTTTGCTAGACAGTGTCAGTGATAGTCCCAATACTCCCAATGTGGATGCACATGGTGTGCTGGAATCTACTTCACGACTGAGATCACTAGACTGGAGGTTACTCTGAGCTGTGTGTTACAGGCTGCAGTGGAGGAGGAGGATAGTGTGTGTCAGCCATACCTGGTAGCCTACCTGCTAGGTGCTTTGCTAGACATTGTCAGTGATAGTCCCAATACTCCCAATGTGGATGCACATGGTGTGCTGGAATCTACTTCACGACTGAGATCACTAGACTGGAGGTTACTCTGAGCTGTGTGTTACAGGCTGCAGTGGAGGAGGAGGATAGTGTGTAACAGCCATACCTGGTAGCCTACCTGCTGGGTGCTTTGCTAGTCAGTGTCAGTGATAGTCCCAATACTCCCAATGTGGATGCACATGGTGTGTTGGAATCTACTTCACGACTGATAAAAATTTTTGGAAATCAAGTTTATGTAGATAGTAGGGAGGTATTTAAGAAAACGGTCATAGAATTTGTATTACAGTATGATAGGGATGAAGTTGTGCCATAATATATTAGCGTAAGGTAAAGGATGTTTCTATAAATTTAGAATTGTTTAAAAAGTATGCATGTTAAAAATATCTTTAAATTATTATGAATGTACCTATTTAAACGTATTTTTGTATAGCTATATTGTGCATGTTTTATAATTGTAAAAAAAAGAAAGAATTATTATTGATTGTTAAAAGTGAAAAAAGTGATGTGACTTACCTAATATTGAAGAAAGGAAAAATAGACATTATGATGATTTAGGCTGCCAGACAGCTATTCTGTACTAAACATAATGTATTTTTTTTTCCGCACGAACCCTGCGTGGTTCATGGGAGTATTTGTATTTACACCTTATGCAGAAAATAAAGAATTTTGAACTGTGAACTGAGATCACTAGACTGGAGGTTACTCTGAGCTGTGTGTTACAGGCTGCAGTGGAGGAGGAGGATAGTGTGTGTCAGCCAGACCTGGTAGCCTACCTGCTAGGTGCTTTGCTAGACAGTGTCAGTGATGGTCCCAATACTCCCAATGTGGATGCACATGGTGTGCTGGAATCTACTTCACGACTGAGATCACTAGACTGGAGGTTACTCTGAACTGTGTGTTACAGGCTGCAGTGGAGGAGGAGGATAGTGTGTGTCAGCCAGACCTGGTAGCCTACCTGCTAGGTGCTTTGCTAGACAGTGTCAGTGATGGTCCCAATACTCCCAATGTGGATGCACATGGTGTGTTGGAATCTACTTCACGACTGAGATCACTAGACTGGGACTCCCTCAACCCTGGAGACCAAGTGTTTACTCTGTTAGTCAATCTCTACAACCTCATGTGGCTGCATGCTATAATCTTGCTGGAACTGTCTGGTATGTTTATCGATCAGTATCTCATCTAAATCTTAGGGCTAATGAATGAGGTACATCCAATATTTCATACATTTTGACAAGCGAAATATGGACAAAAATTGATCGCTTCTCGATACCGATACCTGAAAAATCTGTTCTTGATACCATTTCCATTGTTTCTTTGTTTTTTTTTTGTTTTTTTTTTTACTTTACCAAATGTTCTTTATGAATTGGTTTTGCTACACCAACCCCTGTCATGTCCTTCCTCATTCACAAAGTAATTTTGGATAATGGGGTGATTTTCAAGTAAAGAAAAAATAAATGCAGCAATGAAAAGTCCTAACTAGTCAATTATAATTTAGACCCTTCTAAAGATATTTAATAACTACTACAGTAGACTCCCTCTAATCCGGACACCTTGGGACCGAGGCCAGTCCGGATAACGGTTTTTCCGATTAAACCGACGTCCCCAAAAACTTGTTAAAACGGACTGTTTAAATGCATACTGTATACGGTATTTGACTAAAATTTAGGAGAGCATTGTATTTAGACACATGATCACTGGTCTCAAATTTTCCCCACGAGAACAGTTGTTTCAGTTCCGCCCCCTTCCTGCCGATCTAGTCCGGTTAAACCGATGTGCTGATAAAAATTTTCTGGTTAAAGAGATGTCATTTCCGCCAAGTATAGTCCGGTTAAACCGATGTCCAGTTAAAAGGTGTCCGGTAGGGGGTCTGCGGTGCACCGAAAAAGTCGGTTCGGTATAGTACAAGCTTAATTACCGACATCGGTTCGGTACAGCATTTTACGCGGTACAAACTCGGTTTGGTACAACCTATTATAATCATAAACTACTTTAAGCTTATCAGATGTTTGTTTACGATCTTCATAATTTATTACTAGGGTAGTGATGTAATAAAAAAAACCATTAGCAGTCCCAAATCCATTAATATTTTATCACCAATAATTTTGTTTAATCCTTTACGATTTTCATTTATTACTTGCATAATAATTATTTTGATATCCCAATTCTGTTTTATCATAAAAATGATAGTTTTTATAATGCTGTTAAATTTAATCTCTAGAAAATAATCTGTAACAGTGTTATGTTTTTGAATAAAGAAATATATCTCTTTGTCCATGTTCCATTACACAATTTTGTCAGCAATTGGAGCAAACAGGTGGTGCAAGAGGGGAGGGGGAGGGTCTATGACCTTGAGTGCCCCCTGGGCCTGGCTGGTGAGAGTGATCTATGGTTTGTTTACATCCCACTACCCTTTTTCTGAGAAAAAAGACCCTGCAGTTTCAAAAACATCGACTTACAGTTTAAAAACATTGACTTGTGTTGCTAATTAGGGCACTAGTGTCTCTGCATTATGTTACCAAGTTGGCATTTAATTTTCTTTTCTCTTGATTTAATATAATCTTTAATATAGTAATTAGTTAAGAGTTCCTTTCAGGGTACCTAATTAATTGTGATATAAACAATATCTCGTCTTGAGTTAGATTTTTAATTCTTTTAATTTATAAGTTATCAAAATCAGTTGTTTTAGCGAATTTCCCATATAGGGAATAAGCTATTACCTTAGGTCTCATGGTAAGACCTGGACCCGGAACTGATTTACTTTTTCGTTTTGAAGTCCCCAGAGGCCAAAACACTATTTGTTCAAATTCATATATATATATGTGTGTGTCCGTTGGCCCGATAACTCGAACAAAAATTATCCAATTTTGATAAAATTTGCTATAAACGTGTAAGCCTACATTTATTCGAACGAGTTCGTGAACCAGCATGATCGGACCATGGGAACGGGGGTTTATGGGGGGTTTTATGGGGTAAAAATGGGTTTTTTACCCTAAAAACATAAGGTTTTTGAATTTCTTTCCCAACCATTTTGTAGAGCTTGAAAAAAAAAATAATGTAGTATATTGAAGCATTGTTGTATGCCTAATGGTTACGAAGAAAATTAAAAAAGTGCAAATTTAATTTTGGTCAACGTTTGGTCAAAAAACACTGTTTACCTTCCCCGTAGCAGCAAACCTAAGCACTCGTTAAATGTAATGTTATTTAAATTGGGAATAAATATGTCTTATTTATGGAAATATTTGAGTAAATGTGTAATCAGACAAGTTGAAATTCGCTTAGTCTGCAGGTTTGCTGTGGCGGAGGTATTTAGATTTTAATCTTTTGCTGTAGGTCTATCTATGCTACTGTATGACATGATATGCAATTTTTACAGTCCTTACTAATTATACCATAAACAATGTGTGTGGCAATTACTATTTTTTTAGAGTTTTATAGTAGGCTAAATCAGTTTACACAACATCTTTTCTTCAATGAATTCTCAACTTTACATGTTGCTTAGCACTATTACTATTTTAGGCCCTATAACAAATAATCTATATATTTAATACGCTAGGCATATTTTTGACATAATTGTTTTGGAGCAGTGGTGCGACCGATCACCATGTCCAAGGTGTTACAGTAGAACCTCTTTAATCCGAACCCCTGTAATCCGAACGTCCACTAATCCGAACGCCTCATTTCTGTACTCTATACACAGTACAGTAGTTCTTTATTGTATAATGTATTTATTGATATACCGGTACGCACCATAATTATTTAAATTGTAATATACAGTACTGTTTATTCCCTATGTTTACTACTGTATTTAATAAACACTGTATTTCACTTTTCTCTAACTATTGTTATGTAAAAACAACAATATGTTCTATAATCCGAACTATTCAATAGTCCGAACTACCCCCGGTCCCAATTAGTTCGGATTAAAGAGGTTCTACTGTATTAGAAAGGTCTTATCATGTAGTTTTGCCATCAAACAAAAAAACTTTGGAATACCATCAGGGCTCTGTCCCAGTGGCCTTCAAAGTTCCCATGTTATTCTTAGGGAGAAAATGTTTGTTTACATTTGAACAGATGAATACTTTGAAATTGACACTAATATTTGAAACAGCTGGTTAGATTTATTAGATTAGTTGAAAAGATTAATATTGAACTGTTTTAAACCAGTTTTTATTTGTACAAAATCAAAACATTACCAAAAAAACGTTCGACATAATGGAGACTATAAGACGTTCACCAGGACGCCCAATATAGGAGGAGGCCGACGAACTTTAACTGGTAGACGCGAACAAAATACAAATAATACTATTGTCGTTGATATCCGAATACAGCAAGCACCCTTTCGTGTTGGGTCTAAGTGTGCTCTCCAACAGACGCCTGAAGATTTCACATTCAATTTAGGACTGTTGGATAATGGCTGCATAAGCTGTTGATTTTGGAAGATAAGGAGGCGGGTAGGACTACATCGGAAACAGAAGACAGGAGATATTAGATGAGTGACAAATGCGTTGTGAGCATAGTGTTTCATGTTAACTTTTTAAAGGTAAATGTTCGGATATATATCTAACATCAGAAAGAGACTGGAACAAGATTGGGAGATGGGCCATTATGAAACGCAGTTTGTCACAGGACATTGAAAATTTCAAGGCGATTTTGTGTAAATTTTACCTGGTGGAAGAGGAAGTATGTAGATGTGGAGAAATAAAAACCACAAGTCACGTATTAATCAATTGTTCACTTCAGGAGGCAAATAGGAATAAGTCTTGGATAAGAGACATCTAGAGATGAGAAAATAAAACATGATGAGTGACAAGGAAACAATTGAGACGTTTAGAAAAGTTGCTAAGAAAATAGGAATAACCAGGGATACATACAGGCTTTTAAATTTAAAAAAAGAAACAAACAAAAACTAAGAAAGAAAAGGAATGAAAAGGAATGAGAACTTGCAAATGAAGGGGAGAGGAAAGGTTAGAGCGAATCTCAATGATCCCTCGCTCAGAGGGCGGTATGGAGAAAGGAGTCGTGCTGTTAGGCTTTTGGACACATACGTCTGGACGAGGATTGAAAGTGGCTGAAGCCTAAAAAGAAAGGAGATTTTCACGGAGAATTGGCCTGGCAATTAAGTCCCAGACGTAAGCCAGGGGTGGCGGTGGGAACGAGGAGTTTGCTACAAACATTTACTGACTTGGTTGAAATGAAATATTTACTATTTGAATTTGGGTTGGCGTAAATATTACAATGGAAAAAAGCGAGAGAGCCTGGATAATTTGGTATACTAAAAAGAAAAAAATATTACAACTGTGCTGCATTTCTGAGTAATCATTGAAAGAGCCGATTTGCAAACTATGGAAACGTAGGAAAGTCATAGAACACCACCAAGGGGAAGAAATAGAAATAATATTTTTTAAGTCATCAGACATTTTGACCGTTATTTGTTTTAAAATAATGCCTGTAATACTGAGCAATTGCTCGAATTTGAGCAACATGTACACTAGTTCTTATGTAAAGCTGTAGAAATCACTAATAATAATTATTAATAACTAGTGTACCTGTTGCTCGAATTCGAGCAATTGCGAAGCATTACAGGCGTTATTTTAAAACGAATAACGGTCATAATTTCCCGTGACTATATAAAAGTTGACTCAAAGATTAATAGATTATGGAAATACTCACGATGTACACAACAGTTAGATATAATCAAAACTGTTTGTAAATATGTTATCTTTTTTCAAAAGCTGATCTTGTTTTTTAGAATTTTCTACAAATGTTTTCCACTCATAGCCGCATTAGGTTCTCTATATTAACGATTATAAATTAAGAAAAAAACCCTTATTTCTATTTCTTCTACTTGGTTGTGTTCTATGACTTTCTTATGTTTCCATTGTTTGCAAATCGACTCTTTCAATGATTGCTCAAGAAATGTAGCACAGTGTTAATTCAGTTTTATTTTTAGTAGGCCTATATCAAATTGTCCAGGATTTCTCGCTTTTTTCCATTGTAGGCCTAATAATTACACCAACCCAAGTATCGTCTACAGATGCAATACGCCTACGTACAATCTCCAAGAAGTGGTAAAAAAGGGCAGAAACCAACCCATACATCAGACATAAGTTAACTCCATAAGAAATAATTTTAAGTGTTACTGTGATGTTAGGAT